AACTTTAATAATGGGTTGTTACTTTTTCAAACAGGTATCAGCTATGGGGAAAAAATCAGAGACTAATGGTAAGTAATTCTAATAATAAACCTGCATATTAAATGGGAGCTTTGCTACGTTTTCCTGTAGGCATGTCTGAGTTTTAAAATTCTACACCTGTTAAAGTTGACACCAAAAAAACTTTTTTGCCTTTCAAAAGCTCCACTGCAATATCATCAAAACATGATGGTGAAGCCTGATGAAAATTCAACAGTGTTGATTTTTAAAAATAATTCCTCTAGCTGGTTGTGAGTCTCGTGCTCCTGCACACCCAGACTGGGCTGGACTTCAGATGCGCTCAGCAGCAGCACTGCTTTTGGTTGGAGCTGTGCATTGGTGTCTTCTCAAGGCAAAAAGTGTCTTACTACTGTCATTTTGAAACTACTAGTTTGGGAAACACAGCCTAGTTGTACAGAAAGAAATCAGCAAAATTCCCCTCCTAGCTTTTGTGCGCTTCTTAAATTTTCATTTTGATCCGAACCTCTCCAAATAAAACCAACGAAAGGAAATACGTGCCTAAGGGCCAGTGGGGAAAAATGGAAGTTCACTGATCAGTTTAATAGCTTTACATTGCCTCATGACATCCTTCAACTCTTCACTCAGAAAGACATAATCAAATATAGAAAAAGGCTTTCCGTCTTGCCGCGGACTCCGAGCCCGTGTGCCGAGCGCTGCGGCACAGCCGGCTTTAGCGCAGCAGCTGCCCAGATGTGGCTGGGGAGAGGTGAGGCAGGAGAGCGCTGGGTGCAGCACCTGCTGTGTTTCTGGGTGGGAAGCTCTCCCTGAGCTGCTTCCCGGGGCTGTCGGAGACAAGAGAGAGGTGAGATCCTCTTGGAGACCACCTCTGAGTGATGCCAGTACGCGAGCACAGCAGCGTGCAGCTTGTGTCCTGCCTTCTTACACGCTCAGTGTTCATCTAGAGCCGTGCCTCCTCTGCTTCAGAGGTGCGTTCAGGTTATTTCGAGCCATCTGTAATCTTTATCTCTCTCAGCAGGTTTGAGACAGTTTGAGAAAGAACCGTAGAAGGTCACTAAAGACGCTGGACCAATCAGTTGGGGAAAACAAACAGAAAAGAAAAAAAAAAAAAAAAAAAAGGAAAAAGTGCTAAATTGTTCTTTTTATATTTATGTTTATTTACCAAAATGTCTTTTTGCATTATCCCAGTTAAAACCATGTATATTAGCACTGTATTTAATAATCAGTCTAGACATTCATCATAATAGTACTGCCTTTGCACAAGAGCCTTTATTCCTAAAGAAACCCATGCTGTGAAACATATAGACTCTCCTACTGATAGTCATAACTATGTATCTGAAGAGTGATTTCAGCTGGCATAAGAGGTCAACCCAAAACGCATGTGTAAAGTGAAGTTGCTTAAGAAAGGTGTGCAGTAAACCTATAAAAACAACGATTACTTTTGGAATACAGAAGTCTTTCTTTCTGCACTTTAGACTTAAGGCATGGAAGAAATATCTTTAGTTGACAATGTAATATTTTCTGTAAGTTACCCATGTCATGAGAAATACTGCATCAATAACGTGTTTTATTTTTTTTTTGTTTTATACTTTTTTTTGAGTATCAACTTTTCCATTCTAGTTTAAGTTAATACCTAAATTTGGGTGGTTATGTTAGCTGACAGCGGTACTGTTATTTCTTTTTGTTGTTAGTGACTAGTAATGGAATGCAATTTAGAATATATACACACATAGCTTTACAAAGTTTAGCTTAAAGGCACTACTAATGGTAGAATGCTTTAATACGTGTTAGAGTATTATATTTAGTAATAAACATACATAATTAGCCAATATCACAGCTTAAAAAAATAAAGACAAAATCACACAACTTTTCTATAGTAAGATTTCATAATTGCCATTAGAGGTATGGTGAGATAAGTATTAAAAAATTTTAAATGTCAGTTGCCCGGTAATGGGTAATTAAAAAGAAAGTTATAGTTTTTAAAGAGGAAAAGGTAAGGGTATAGAGGGTCAAAAATAGGTCACTTGTATAAAACGTTGTAGTTTAATTTATATAAAACTACCATAATTAAAAAGAAAAAAAAAAAAAAAGAAAAAAACTAAACACAGTTGGAGCTTGTTTCAAATGACTGTACACTAAATCTTGCCATCCATCAGTGCCGTACACTAAGTCCACCTAAAATGAAGCAAACCTCTGTCTTTATACTGTTTCTTTTTAACACGCTCTCCCGAATATCTTATTTACAGATGATTTGATTTGTATATAGCAAACACATGGCTATAAGATGTCAGCTTGGTTTGAATTTACATGCCATACAAGTTTAGCATTTACGTCCTCCAGTGTATGGGTGGCATTAACTGGGCAACTGAAGTAGCCCCCGAGCACATTCTTGACAGCTTTGTTGTGCATCAGAACTACCAGGATCTCCCTTTTCACCGCTCCCCTCTCCTACAGCATCCGCCTTCTTCCTAAAGAAGAATTATCTTGTATTTCAACCCAAAGATGAGCTCCCCTGCTTGGCTGAAGCATCTTGTTTACGTATAGAGGTGCACGTAGTTATCCGTAGGGGGTGAAACTGTGCCTGACATTGGCTGTGACTTGTCATGTTTTTTGTTTGGGGGGTTTGTAAACGCTCCTCGGAGTCTTTCAAATACGTTCGATTGCTGCAATAAAGATGATTTGTTCAAACAATGTATTCTGAAACTGCATCCACAATAAATGGAATATTTCCATGAGCAGCCCCCTGTTTGTTAATGAGCAGGAAAAAAAAAATGTCGTAACTGGGATAGGAATCGAGCTAAGGTTGTGTAAAATAAGGTATGATTGCAAAGAAGCTCCAAGGATGTCTCTCCTGATGTACTATCCTACAGCGGCCAGCCAAGTCAGAAAGTCAGCAGCTTTAATCTACGTATTCCTAATGGAAGAAGGAAAAAAAAATCTTAATTGTCATGCCTATCAGTACAAGACAGGAGCTGTGCATCATCCAGAAGTCAGCACACTCAACGAAGTAGGTTCCGACCTAGCGGCACCTCCGTCTGCTTCCCTACTTTGAAAAATGTTTTCTGTGTGAGAGCCATCATGTTTCTTCTGTCTGCCTCGGTGGGATGTGCTTCCAGGCTTGGATGATCACAGGGACCAAGTCTGGGGAGCTGCTGGCTTTTTCCTGTTGTCCTCCTACCTCTTTCGGTTTCGCTCTAACGGCAGCACAACACGTAACACCCTGCTGTAACCAGGTCATGGGCATCCAAAAGAGCTCCCCGGGCTGCTGCCTGCTCCATGGGAAGCAATGGGAAGGCTGCAGCAAGCTCAGCTTTCTGAACTACTGGGGGAGAAATAATTGAATGCTGCCTAATTTAACCCAAAAAGAGCTTGTGTGCTTGACAGCATGCCTGTTCTCCTGCCTCGCGCTGACCGGCTCCACCGCTACCTTTCTCTCCAAGCTTTGCTGAAGTGATGCTTTGCTTTTTTAAGGCAGATACGTTTCTTTTCCTCCTGGTTGTTGCCTGTTCTGAGAGAGTGGAAGAGTGCTGGGCACAATTGGTTTTACTTTTCGGACATTCTGTAACGGTTTGATCCCACCAGTTAAGGCAGATACATTTCTTTTGCTCCTGGTTGTTGCCTGTTCTGAGAGAGAGGAAGAGTGCTGGGCACAATTGGTTTTACTCTTCGGACATTCTGTAACGGTTTGATCCCACCAGCTGGCACCACCTCCTGGCAGAAGTCGCCAAAGACAAATCCCGGTGGCTGACTCAGCAGCTCTGCGAGTTTTTTTGGCGTTTCGATACCAATATGAAGTGATGATTTTTCAGACGATACCAGATTTTCACCTTAGCTTCTAATCATGCTTTCCTGCAGCTCGCTCGGCATCCTCATCCTCACCAGACTTACTCTTGCCAGCAGGCAGAACACCACAAAACAACCTTTTTCAAGCCTGCCTTTGCTTTGGCTTAGCCTGTTACCCATCTGAAAATACTTTTTTAAACCAATTGTGACTCTACCTCAGGGTTCACTTTGGTGTCTTTAAATAAAATCTTTTCTATGATTTCCTTAGATGAAGCCAACCCTTGTCTGGATATATTGTTCTGAATGCTGCCAGCAGAGTTGCAAAATCTAATTTTGCATTTGAGACTTCCAGAGCAAGTCAGTCTGATGCTGTAGGTAGCCCTTATGTTTGGCTGCGTGGATTTTGATGTGTGTTATCACTGCCTGTGATGCTACCTTCACCTTTTCGCCTCTCATCACCTAAGAATTTGATTTCTAGTTGTCCAGAGGGCGGGCTATGTGGAGTAATAGGTACAACTTTGTTCTTTAGGTTCTAGCTAGAGCATGATCCTGTTTGATGCATGAGCCACAAAGTAGTCTCTATGTTTTGTCCTTACACAGGAAGCATAGAAGCTTATTTCTAGCTGTGTTAAAATTTAAAAAAAATAACAGACTTCTGACATGTTTTTACAACCAATTGTATGAAACAGTTTAAGCACTCCAGTGATTAAGTTTTGTTGTTATTCAAACTTTATTCATGTAAAATTTTAAAGCATTAGAGATTCAGACTATGAAAATCACAAATATGTAAAAAGCAAAGGAATTAAAAAGACCATTCCTTGACAGCAACTCATTAGCCAATATGACTGACCGCACTGGAAATGACATATAAAAAAAACTTGTAACTAACCAGAGTTTTTTGCTAAATATGTCTTTAATTAAGGAAGACAAGGAAAAAAGGAAATGAAGAGACATTGTCTTTTTACTATTAATCAAAAATGTCTTTTTACTATTAATCAAAAATACATTTCTGCTAACCATCTTTACAAAAGACCCATCCCTATTGCATTCTTATACCAACTGGTGGTGGTCTCCTAAAAATGGAGGACAAGTAACTGCTCATAATGACTGTCAAGTACAGAAGAAGAAATCAAGACCAAGCTCCAGAATACGTGTTCTAATCTGGAAGGAGTTACATGGAGGTGTCGCAGAAACCACTGGCATTAATATTCTGCTTTGAATGGGTAGTCCTTATGGTTGACAGCTCTGAGAAGAGAAAGAACTGGTTATTTAAGTATTGTAGAAAGTATCTTCAGCAGCATTTCCCTACTACAGTCTCCCTCCTCCACTGCCAAGGTACTCCAGGTTTGCTGCTGTCGTTAATTTGAACACAGGCTTGTGAACGAGCACGTGCAACACCAAGATGCTGAAGGGAATGCCCTGAATGAACCTCCCTCCTGACGTCAGTTCCAGGACGTCTCATTACCTGGGATCTGGGTGTAAGATATGAGCTCTCCCTGGTTTTGATCATGTATATTTTCAAGATATCAGGTATGAAAATACAGATAGAGATAGACCTAGTGGATAATAAGGATAATAAGAAACATACTGGAGTACTGGAACTGCCCTCCAGTTCCTGTTAAAGCTGAGGATGACATCCATCTCCTTTTTAGACAGTTCAAAGTCAAACACCTAGCAGGGAAAAGAAAAAAAAAGAGAAATCCCTTTTTTAGTTAAGAGTTAAGTCCATGAGCAGTTAGCTACTAAGTGCGCTTCATGCATTTATGACTTGGGGTAGGAACATACTGCATCCACACTAAGTGTAGTTAAGAAATCCTCTTAATTCTCAGCCAAATACCAATTTACCCTTGAAGTAGTCAAGATAGTCCTTTTCTCTCTGAGGTGGTGTTCATAGCAATGTCCTATAGTTGTGGGTGGTTGAACGCAAGCACCGCCGCGGTGTGTGTCGTAATGCACAGACAGAAAAGTAAAGGTGCTAAGGATGGATTGCTCGATGTGTCACAAATACTGGAACTAGCAATAAATATTTCTGCTACCACAGAGGACTACTGGGTACCAACTGCAAATAGTCGTCTTACAGTTAATCAGTTATCTGAGAATTCTTGCTGGTGGTTCATAGGAGAAGTAAGTCCAATATGTTGCACCATGAATGGAAAGTAACACAGAGATGTTGTCTAAGATGCCGGGCCTTTTGAGCAAACATCCAGCCAAACCTCCCTGCCAAGGGGAACTACAGCCTCAAGGGGAGACATAAACCACAACGGGATTGGCGTTCACAGTTTGTTCCTTCACGCCCTAAAGAGGGGCTCACTAAACATCTCCCAGAGGGCAAGCCCAAAACTGGGGATTCCTTTTCTAGGGCAACAGAGCTCGGATCACCCTGGTGTAACCCATTTCTCTCCTGGCAGGAACAAAATGCTTCTCCCCAGAGAACAAGAGTGGATGGTTAGGTAGTGCTGAGCCCCAGTCTTTACATCTCTGCGCTCCCCTTCCAGTGCCTCTTAGGTGCTGCTTGGAAACACGGAGGAGATCCAGGTGGGGGTGCCTATCCTGTGTAAAAAGGTGGCAGCAGCCCTAATGAAAACTTCACCTTCATGTTTTCCTCAACACGCTGTGGTTTGTCAGACTTGGGAATGACAATCAAGCCTCTCTGGATAAGAAACCGGATCAGAACCTAGGAAAGGGCGAGGAGGAGCATCAACACAGGGGTACCAAGAAATGTGTTCAAATGCATTTTGTGTTTGCTCTTACCTTTTTTTTCACGTACGAATCAATTTCTGTTTCTACAACCATGTTGACTCTTTGGAAGACTCTACCATTTTGCACGCAGGAGTTTGATGTGCCAGCATTTGCTTGCATTCTACTGAGAAACTAGGATTTTTTTTCTGTCCTATGTTGTTTCTACATCCTGTCTTCTCCAGGATTTGTTTGGTTTTCATTTAGGGTAGGAGGAGGGAAGAAAACCAACGATGTTTCTGGCTTGCATTATACAGGTGCTCAGACCAAACAAGCATAATGATACTGCAGATTATTTTGGGCTCGCAGGTAAGTACTCACCTAAGTTAAGCTTTTTGAAGTCCTTAAAAGGAAAAAACTATTAAGATTTTAAGTTTCCCTCCTCAAAAGAGGACTGTTGCATACAATTTTTTGTCCTGCTCTGCCTGTCTTAAAATAGGACTGTGGTTGATCACTTGTGAACATGTGGGTTTATTTGAAGTGCCGTTTCTGCACACCCTGGGCAAGAGCTCATTTGTGTGACTAGCAACTAACAGAGAAAAAAAAAATTCATCTTGAATAATCAAGCAGCTTTCAATGATTCTTTGTGAACACGAGCAAACGAGCAATCAAGTAAGTCTGCAAATTACAGGTCTTCTCTGAAGAATAACTTCACCAACTTAGCTGGAGAAAGGAATAACAAGTTGGCTTGATGATTTGTAAGTAAACCTCAGAGGAAAGGGGTTCTTGGGGAGCAAGCACTTCTCTCTGGGAGCAGAAGACGTCTCTCTAGGACGGGGGACACCGGAGGTAAGCACATACCACTGCTGATCCGCCCCCCCAAAGCTCAGAACTTAAGACCTCTTAGAAAATACCTGCTAATTCATATTCGGTAAGGTAAGTTCTTACCTGCTGGTAAGAACTGGGGCAGTGTGAAGAGTCACGTGCAGTTCAACCCCATTTTACTGCAACTCTAGGAAAGGCAGCATCTGCTAAGACTGGCCAACAGCCTGTGAAAATGTCTGAGGAAGAAGAATAGCTCGTCCTGACAATCCCACTTACCTGGGCAGAGGTTTTGTGATGCCTGACTGCCATCTCTTTGATCTTGGGATCGTCGAGCAGCACAGGTTCCCCTGGCTTGGCCCTGTTAAAAACAAAAGCCAGGATATTGATGGTAGAAAGGAATTGGCTGGAAGCCTGATGTTTTTCATGAAACAATCTGCAACAAAGCAGCAGTAGTCTTCTCATTATACCTGCATTATTGACATCGTTTGCCTCAAAGATTCAAGTTGCAAACGCGTTGTTTTGCGTGCAGAAAGGCAGCAATGCTTTCTTACCAGGGGCGGTTAGGAGAGCCAAGGGGGCTGTACGCTGTCACAGCAATCCCTTTGGATTTACAGTACTCAATCAGCTTCTCCTGGGTGAGGTATGGATGACATTCGATCTGCAAGCACAAAAACACGGTGGTTGACACACAGGCAGACTGCACTGGGCTCCAGAGCATAACATTTTAATTCTTCTTGAGTGGCAGAAAACATGAAGAAAAGACTCTCAATATCATAATTGAATTAAATTCCTCTTCAGCCTGGAGAAGAGAAGGCTCCAGGGTGATCTTATAGAAGTCTTCCAGTACTTAAAGGGGGCCTATAGGAAAGCTGGAGAGGGACTTTTTACAAGGACGTGTAGTGATAAGACATGGGGCAATGGCTTTAAACTGAAAGAGGGCAGATTTAGATTAGATATAAGGAAGAAATTCTTCACTCTGAGGGTGGTGAGGCACAGGAACAGGTTGCCCAGAAAAGTTGTGGCTGCCCCATCCCTGGCAGTGTTCAAGGCCAGGTTGGATGAGGTGTTGAGCAACCTGGTGTAGTGGAGGGTGTCCCTTCCTATGGCAGGGGGATTGGAACTAGATGATCTTTGAGGTCCCTTCCAACCCTAACCATTCTATGATTCTATAATTAAAATCTATCTTATACAAAAGTTATTAATGTCACAGCAATATCTAGTGGCCTAGTACAGAGAGTAGTACATATTACACAAAGGTAGTGGGAAATAGATGAGAAGAGTGAGAGTGCTTTCTGTGTCAGGAATCGGGGAAATTGGTCTCCCTGGACTACTAGAGAGCAGGATTGTATCTTCAGAGCAGTTCAGAACACCTGAGGTTTAGTTTCTGCTCTGAGTCACCCAACCTCTCCTCTCCCCAAGGAGTCTCCCCGACTCCTGAAGAAGCCTGGAGAGATGAGCTTCCCTAGGTTAGCTCTGATCATGTTGCCACCAGCCATTCAGGCAAGATATCCCTTAACTGGACAACACCAGAAGCCTTCACGGGGATGGTGCTCAGCGTCCCACAAGCTATAGTATGATCACAGGGCTCTGTCTATGCTGTATAATGTGGCACCATGCACATACCCAGCTGTTTCTAAATGCTACAGCTATATTATGGGCAGCACCATGCCTGCAACAGGACCCAATGTGGGAATCTCCCTGGATATTCCCAAGCCGGCAGAGACGGGCATTCAGCACCCTCAGCTGAGCGAAAGGTGTCACATGTGGAAGAAAGTCAGAAGGTCCTGATGCCCCTGCTGTCCTGTGGTTTCATTCATGAGGGACGTGGAGAGAACTTGTTATGTGATTGTAAACTTCAAACCTCCTTTTTATAATGAAGTTCCATGAAATGGTTTATTGTGTGTTGAAAAATAAGTAAGTCCAGGGAATGAGTTAGAGCATTCCTGTACATTCCCATGCCTGTGCAGCAGCTCGCAGTGGGGATTTTGCTGCTTACCCCAGGGCTGGCAGAAATGGGCCTCTAGCAACTTGGGTTGTCACACTGGAGTGTTAAAGAGGACATGTAGCAAAAAGTTGCAAGGTCCTACGCAAGGTAATGGATATTTTCACTGTTTTCCAATGTCTAAAAAGCAAATATTCTCATCTGTTTCATATGACTGTGGTATGAATAACCTATGCTTTTTCGTATGGCTTTGCTTTCAAATCTCCATTGCCATATATACACACAAGTCTACAAAAAAGTTTTCTGTGAGATCCCTGTCAGCTAAAAACCATCAGCACTGACACCGTACCAAAGCCTTGCATATTGCAGGCAGTACTGACTTGAAGGAACTTTCAGACAACCAGAGATACCTACTGCTTTGCAAGAACTTTCCATGGCACCAGAACTGTTTAAAGGTCATGGCAAAAGTCAGCTTTAGAGCTGATGCGTCGTATGGAAATATTTAGGAATACTCTAAGGTTAATTTACATCAGTGGAAATAAAAGTCTTACCTGGTTATTTACTGGCTTGTATTTCAGTCCTGGCTTGTTCAAGAGTCTTTCAATCTGCTCATGGTTAAAGTTGGAGATACCAATGGCTTTTACCAGCCCGCAGTCCACCAGCTCTTCCATGGCCTAATGAGTAAGGACAACCAACGTGTATTTATGAGGTGATATTACTGTCAACTTCATTATTTTGTTTCCCTAAAGCTAGTGACAAACCAATAAACAACCCAAGACTAGATTAAATAACAGTATCTCACATAAGAAAAAAATAATCTTTGCAACTTGTTTTACCTGTATGCTTTAAGTCCCATTGCAGATGGGAAAGTAATATAAGAAGAATGGCTGAGCCAACCCTTTTGTAATGGGAAGTGAAATTCTTTTGCTTTGGGGGTCATTTTACCAGAGCTAAAAAAGCGAGGAAGAGCCCTCCACCTCCTCCCATGCCAGCACACTACCTCTGAGTTGGCAGAGTACACCAGGGAGGATGTTAGCTTAAACTCAACCACCTCAAAATACTTTCCTGCAACTGGATTCTGCTATTGTA